TCCCTAGGTGTCTTACATTTTTTTTAAAAAAAAAAGATACTAATGTTCAAAATGTAAGAGATAATGCTGGTATCTCTCAAGCAGAGTAATCAAGTTAGCAAGACAGAAGGTGAACAACAGCCAGTTTATACAAGACCTAGCAGAAAGATATAGGCTTAATCTTCTTTGTAAAGCAAATAAAAGTAGCTCACAAATTACTCATGCATAATTAAGCATGTGTTCTTATGAAGGAGAGAGAAAGGAGAGAGAAAAATGGTTACAGATTTACATGGTGCAGAAAGAATGTGTATGTGATAAAGCTAATTGGAAGTTATCCAGTAATCAGTGAGTATGGGCATGCATAGATTGCTAATGCTTACAACTGAACTGAGACAAATCTAAAAACCTGTCATTCCCACCCCCCCAGTACAGTTCTTATCCTGATATCACTGCCACCAATTGCTATGCATTTATGAGATGTATCAAATGCACACACATATTTAATGCATCCTCTTGGTTGGCCTTTTGATGCTGGAGGAGGAATTCATTTTTATGCAATGCAGAAAGAAACAGGCAATTGCTATAACTGGGTAGACATATTTTGCTTCTGCATGGGAACTGTTTTTATTTTGAAGAAACATTTCTGGAATGAGGGGCAGAGAGTGAAGTGCTCCAGATCACCATTCTTTGTTCCAATTGTGCTAGATGTATAGTACTTGGCTGTGAACACTGGTGGACTTGGATAGCTTATCCCAGGCTGTAGAAAAAAGCACAATAGCTTCTATTACTTGAAAATGTATATTGAATTAATTCAGGAAACATATGTTTGCTAGAGTCATAATTAGATATTGAAGTATTTGACAGTTCTTTGCAAACCTGAACACACCTTTGAATATATTTGCAATAGGAATGTAAACTGTAATTTCATTGAGTTACTAGATAGCAGCCCACTTGCTTAGGCAAAGAGGTGTATTGCTACCCACATGCTTCATACAGTTTGCCCAGAAAACACAATACTTCCAGAAACTAATAATCATCTGAGATAGTGCTTTAAAAAAAACACCCTCAGATTACTGTCTGAATTGTTCTCATTTTAATAAAACCTGAATGTAAGGCCTCAAAGAACCTGTAAAAGCACCATTTCATTGCATTTCATCATGTTATTTCTATTGAGAAACTGCATTAAAAACAAGAAACCACCTCTGACTTCTTTAGCGGCAAAGCTTGAGTAAAATGGGGGAAGGATTACATCAAGGAAAAGGAGCTAATTCGTAAAAATCTTGAAGCATTAAGTTCACAATGCTTCTTCTATTGCTTTCTTCATTGTTATTATCTTCATCATTATCAAGTAGATATTTAAAAGGTGAAGAGTAACAAATGTAAACCTTATCATTTCAGTAGTCAAACTGAGCTTTACAAAGGTATGATTCCTCATTTTTCATAATTTGGCATTTCCAATGCATGTGGTACACATGTACCCTTTGGTTAAGATCCAGTTGTACCACATGCATTGTAGGACACATGTTGAGTGCCCTGGGAAACCGCATATCCTACAGTTCTTTAATAATCTGCAAGTACCTGCAGCTTGGACTTTTTTCAAATTGAGAAAAAAAGGGTTCTCAAGGTCATGAAAACAGTTTTTGTTGTTATTAACTGCCTTAGCATCGATCTCGACCCATAGTGACCCTATGGATGAGGCATCTCCAGGCCCTTCTGTGCTCTACTACTCTGCTTAGCTCCTGCAAATTTATATTCATGGTTTCTTTAATAAAGTCCATCCATCTAGCATGTGGCCTTCCTCTCTTTCTACTTCCCTCCACCTTCCCTAACATTATTGTCTTTTCCAACGATTCATGCCTTGCCATGATGTGTCCAAAGTATGACAGTCTGAGCCTTGTCATCTTGGCTTCTAGGTATATCTCTGGCTTGATCTGTTCTAAGACCCATTTGTTAGTCCTTTTGGCTGTCCATGGGATCCTCAGCACTCTTCTCCAGCACCACATCTCAAATGCATTGATTTTCCTCCTATCTTCTTTCTTGACTGTCAAGCTCTCACATTCATACATGGTAATAGGGAATACAGTGGCTTGTATGTTTCTGACTTTTGTACTCAGTTGTATATCTTTACATTTTAAGATCTTTTCTAGTTCTTTCATAGATGCCCTACCCATTCTTAATCTTCTTCTGATTTCCTGACTACAGTTTGATCTCAGGTATGAGAATTCTTTTACTATTTCTATTTCCTCATTGTCTAGTTTGAATGTGTAAGTTTGAATGTGTGTAACAGTGCACAATTCATAATGTAGCAAAGGATTTTGGTTATTATTTGCTGTTCACTTCAACATGTGGTAACCCTAAGAATGAGAAACTTCCAAGATCCCCTGTCATCAAATACCCTGTTCAGGTCTTTCAAACTCAAGACTTGGCTTACTTGGTTGGCTCAGTCCACTGTAGTGTGTTCTGTCTCTCTTTTCCTATTACTTTCCACTTCACCATTATTATTGTCTTTTCCAATAAGTCACGTTGTCTCATGATATGCCCAAAGTACAAAAGCCTCAATTTTGTCACCTTTGCTTTTAGTGAGAGTTCAGGTTTGATTTGCTCTAAAGCCAATGCACTTGTCTTTTCAGCAATCTTCTGAAAATATATCTTCTCCAGCACCACATTTCAGATGAGCTGATTTTCTTCCTGCCAGCTTTCTTTACTGTGTAGCTTTCACATCCATACATAGAAATTGGAAATATTTTGGCCTAGGTGATTCTAACTTTGATATTTAATTATATGTCTTTACACTTGAATAGGCTTTTAATTGTTAATTTTTCCCACTGTTTAATGTTAACACTGTTCATAATTTTTTCTTCACATCGATTTGCTCCTTATGTTTTAAATTAAGTTTTTATTGTATATAAGCTGGAGTGCTTGCCAGGTGGAAAATGTGACATTATAAATGAAATAATATTTTTATGTTAAATATGCTATGAGTGTTTGTGAACCTATGATAAAAGAAGCTATCATCCAAGAAAAGTCCAGTATGTTATTATGCAGTTATTGGACTAAAATCAGAATTATGAAGTCACTTATTCACAACCAGACCAAGGTGATGAAATTGAACAATCTGTAAATGTATAATTAACAAAGTTGTAGCTTGAAAACTTAAGCCTGCCTTCAAAGGATCTTCAGTATATATTTCCATCCCTCTGATTGCTTTTGGAAAGTTCACCAGGAGCATATGAAGACAAATAATAGACCAAAATGTTACTTCTAGGATACTGCCACAGGCTGCATCCACACTGCAGAAATAATCCAGTTTGGTACCACTTTAACTTCCACAGCTGAATGCTATGGAATTCTAGTTACTGTAGAGGGGTTTTTTTTAAAGACATTTAGCATTCTCTGTCAGAAAGTTCTGGTGCCGCAACAAATTATCGTCCTTGTTTTACGAAGAACAATTGTTTATGTTATGAATCCTGGTGGCACAGTGGTTAAATGCCTGTACTGCAGCCACTCACTCATAGACCATAAGGTTGCGAGTTCAATATTAGCCAGGGCTCAGGCTAGACTCAGGCCTGCATCCTTCTGAGGTTGCTAAAATGAGTACCCAACTGTTGGGGGGCAATGAGCTTACAGTTGTAAACCGTTTAGACATCCCATAGTGTGATATGAAGCGGTATATAAATGAAGCTGCTTTGCTTAGCTGCTGCTTTATTTACCTGGATCTACTAGAATGAACAGTGTGTTCCATTGTGTTTATAGTATGAGAATCTATGCCATTCTCATGCCTTCTCAGGTGTGTGAGACTACAACAGACCAAGACAGCATGTGGAATGCACCAAACTGGTGAAAGCTGATCTATGACACATGTTGAAAGCTAGATTTCAGCCTCAAAGGATGTATTTTGCTATTGCTTAGCAGACCGCTGGGTCCAGCAACCCAATGATTCTTAATCTTTCTGGGACCACAGACTCCTTTGAGAACTTGATGGAAACTACCCCAGAAAAATGCATTTGAACACAATTTCCCATGTAACTGGGAGTAAGCAGAAAGGTGAAAAAATACATTTGTTCATGGTCCATCTTGACCATGTGAGCTCCATGGACCACAAGTAAAGGCACCTTGAACTAGAGCTGACTACACACGACTGCCTGTGCAGGAGAACACTGAATTAATCATCATGGTGTTTTCACCTACATGCTCAGTCTATGAATTTGTTTACAGAGCCAGATCTAAGCTCCATACTCTTTTCACATAAAAACTCATTTTATTTTATTTTGCCCTTTAGCAGCTTAATTTAATTAGTGAGGGTGCAATCTTTTTGTTGCTTTTATTGTTGAATGGTTGGGAGCTGAACACCTTTTGTCTTCTGCTACAAATTGCCCACCAATAAAGCCTGATATAACTTCTGCCCATCCCAGTCATAGATCTTCAAAATGAATTTCATTTATCACATTTTTCCCTGAACATTGTTGCCCTTATTTTATTTGTTTATGGTGATATACATATTTTTATTTATGTATTTTGTCCTAACTATAGAACATCAAGCTATTTTTAAAAAAAAAATACAAGGCAGCAGAACTAATCCATAGATAAAAAATGTGTCTGTGTTTTAAATAGTTATACCACATTTTTCTATCCCTCAAGATCCACAAGATCATCTCTTTGAGATATTTATATATAAAGTAATTGGCTGCTTAATCACATTTGCATAACTATAGAAACGTCTCCTAGCCTGACTCTCTCACCCTACCTTAACAGCCAACAGTTGCTTTAGGTAAAGGAGGACTATTTAGCTGCCAGTCAGGGTGCAACGAAGATGACATCTTTAGCCCCATCTTACCAGTGAGTTCTGCTGCAGCAAGGACTTGGGACAGGTCCTGCTTCTGATTGTCACAAACTCACTTGCTAGTAGGAGGGCAGTTGAGGGTGGTGGACATTTTCATTAAATTCCAGTTGGCAGCTGAACAGAATTTTTTTTTCCTGCAGCAGCTGACAAATAAGCATTTAAGTAGTCTTGTGGTTACAGAGTCAGTATGGTGTAGTGGTTTGAGTGTTGGACTACAATTCAGGAGGCTATGGTTCAATTCCCTACTCAGCTAGGAAACCTACTGGGTGAATTTGAGCAAGTCACATGCTCTCAGCCTGAGGGGAGGGCAGTGAAAAATCTTCTCTGAATAAATCTTGCCAAGAAAACCCCATGATATGTTCACCTTAGGGTTGCCAAGTTGGAAATAACTTGAAGGCACACAACAATAACAGTAACTATTATAGTACTTAGTACAGAGCACCTATGGATATCTACCTTTAGGTTACAAATCTGGAACAGAATGCCAACCCTTATTCTTTAGTGAGATTTTTTTCTCATCCTGGAGTATATCAAGGAAGACAACAGGAAGTGGAGAAAAATCCAAATGTTCATGCATACACATCAACAGCCATCATACCAGAGATAGAAAGAGAAAGGGAGGAAGAGAGAAGGAGAGAGAGAGAGATGCATGAGACATTCTTTCACATGCCCAAAAGACCATTTTGTCACATGAAAGGTGCATTGATGTGGGACAGAATCCTGCACCACACTTCAGGGCAACAAGTTCCAGCACCTTACTGTGAATCTATATCCTCCTGAGGAGACTACCTTACTCTCTGACCCAGAGTATATCTATAGAAAGATGTGTACAGTAATTCCAATAAAAGCATAATGCAAATCATTTCACAATGAATGGTGGAGTTATCCAACATCATATGCAAGCTTTCGCTTTTAATCTTGAATACATAATAAACACACAGTGCTGTGCTAAAGAACTATGGTGAGAGAACAGGAGAGAAGAGGCTCACTATATGCTCTTAACAGGACACATCTGAAACCCAAGGTAGAATTAAACTGCAAGGTTAGCCCTGGTTAGTTTCTGGATGGAAACTGCCAAGGAATACCAGGTGCTATAGTTCCTTCAGTGGGAAGGAACTGGTAAAACCACCTCTCAGAATTCCTTGCTTAAGAAAACCCTCCAAAAATTTTGGGGTCACCATACGTCAGTAGGCAATTTGAAAGCACACATCCACATCCACAAACAAATATTACTTAATATAGTAATAGAAAAGCCAGGGCTCTGTTAACATGTAACTGACATGACTCATTGTGATCAAAGTGTGATAAATAATAATAGTATCTTTAAGGAATTCAACAGAGCAAGAAATAGAGAAAGTTCCAATGCCATCATTCAATTAACAATTCAGTTTGCACTATGCTAGAATTTCTTCCTTGAAGACAAGATGGATTGTCCCCAAAATCACCTAGTAAAGGCAGTAAAGACTTTTCAGTGATGGCTAGTGGCTTTCATATCAGTGGGTAGACAATCTGGATTTTAGACTGAATTTTAGAGGAGCTATCAAGTGCTGAACCCTATACTCCAAATAGGTTCAGCATCTTGGATAATTCCTTTTACATTCACACTAAAACCTGGACAGATTCAGTGTCTCACTGATATGAGAGCTGTCACTGGTCCTGTCATTTCTCATCTCCTAATATTTTAACAGCACAAGAGTTCAGAAAAGTTACCTAGCTCCATCATGTAATAAAATGGAAGGAAGTGACTATAATTTCATGAGTTACAAAACATGAAACTTTGAAAAGGAGGGAAAGTGTTACAATATCCCAGTTACTTGAAAGACATGAAAGCCTCTCCTGCTCCCTCAAACCTACGCTAGTCCAACTACTCCCAAAAATGACAGGACCAATAATCCCACAACCCTCCACAAGATCCCATCCAGAATATGTTGCTGACAAATGTATACCTGATAGAACCATGTGTGTTGTTAGTACCATTATAGCTTCAAGTAAATGTATGTACCAGAGTCATGCAGTTCAATCCCAGACATGTCTGCTCAGAAGTAAGCGCCAAAGAGTTTAATTAGATTTAATTCCCAATGTAAGAGCCTGAACAAGATTGCAAGTATCATCATACCATTTACTTACTGAAAAGAGTGTGGAACACTAACACTTAATAACTCACAATATATTTAAGCAGGGAATACAGTATTTTTGCAATATAGCTCCAAGAAATGCTCCAAGAATTCTGGAAGTTATAGTTCTAAATAATAACTTTTCCAAGCTCTGAGCAGAACATACTTATATTGAATCCCTACCTGAATTGAATTTCACAATGACTCATCAGAAAACATTGTAAGAGGAATCTGAACCTAGGAAATTGCTAAAATTTCAAGTATCCAATGAGATCTTTTATCCTATGTTTACAGAGGTGGCTAGGGAGTAGACTGATAGAGACAAAACTTTTTCAGTGAATTTTGTTATTTATTTGGGGATTCAAACATACAAAGACACTCTAACATACACTCATGCACACAAGAACTCAGGAGTAAAGTAGTTAACTTAGATAGGAAACAGAAGGCTTTCTAATGATGATAATTAACTGAGGGAGGTTGCTCCAATGATGAATGAAGATGGATAAATTCAACCGTGTAGGAAAGGAAAAGGAGGACTGGAAGAGCCGGGATCCAAGTCAAAATTCACAGTGACACAGTGTCACCATAAAATCTAATCAGACCCAATGTGCCTGAGATTTGGGGGCCCTGAGGTGAACATTTGTTACCGTATACCAAAGAATTCTGGATAGATTAAAGTAGACAATTTCCAAAGAGAGGAGATGGAGTATTGATGTTATCTCATTCTTAGCTGGACACACCACCTGGCTGGTACTCATAAATCTCCTGGGTGTGAATGTCCTGTTTTGCAGCACCTAACCCTGGCCTTTTGAACTGCTAATTCATTGTTGAGGCAAACGTGACCACTCAGATGTCTACATGAGGTCCTTGCCTTGAATCTATGGTGGCTGGGGTTTTCCGGTTTATGGCCATGACAAGAGATCCACAAAGAGGGTTTTATATTAAAACAATGCTTGTAACAACATCTTGAAAAAGTTTTTTCCTCTAGTGTTCATTTTTGCCTTTGCCCACTTGCTCTTCACAGTGAAATCTTGCCAGGATAACAGTTTCTCAGTTATACCGGTGCTTTGGTTTGGACCCTGCTCAAGACATCCATTGGAAAGATCAAACACAGTGGCTCTCCATTTGTAGTAAGCTTCAGGAATAACTAATTTCTCTCCCTAAACTCACTTTGAGCAGACTGACATTCCTTTTGATCACTCCCACTAATGTGTCCCATGTGGGAGCAAAGCAATACTCTGAGCAATGAATGTCTGTTCCATTCTGCCAGGCAGGAATCTAATGGGTAGAACAAAAATGAGTTTGCTGACCTGAAAAGCTTGGCTTGACAGTTTTTGGGAAATGTTGCAAGACTTCAGCACTGGTTTAACTCAGTTGATATTATGTGCAGAAAGGCATCCAGCCACAGTTGAAATGGTAAACAGCATTACCATGTATCTTAAAAATGAACACACGCCCTTTAACTTTTAACAGGAATGAAAGGTCCAGTGGAACAGTAGCCTTGAGTCTTAAAATACTGTATATAGTGCTTATTATCTTGCTCCACAAGTTGATAATTAGAATTGTGTTGAATTTCTTGCTTCTAAATTAATTTCCCAGGATCTCATCTTGAGGAAACATTATATAACAACCACTGTGGAATTTGAGGGTTCGTCAAGCAATCATTTTTTATGAGACAGAATCATGTGCACACAAAAACAATAATTAGTTGGTGTTGAACTCTCTCTTTCATTTCTGAGTTTCTTTGGGATGCTTTGCATGTCACCTACTGGAGAACCATAGCCATGTCCTTTCAGAAGGGTGTTTGCTGCCATGCCACCTGCCACAGCCTACTTAAGTAGCAGAACAAAGGGGGGCAAAGTGGAGATGTCTTTGACTTATTGTTGATGAGCAGACATCAAAGGCAGATTCCACAATTATGGTATCAGCATGAGCTACTGAATCACTGCTGAGCACTGGGGCTGCCCAAGCACAGTGCTGCCACAAGATCCTTGCCCTAGAGCAGGTCCAAACTCCAAGGAGGAAGGAGTTTTCCACTGCTAGAGTAACTGTGAGTGACTATGAAAAACTAAAGCCTTGTCTACTCATCTTTCCCCAAATGATCATATCTAACCACAATGAAGGATGAGAGGCAGGACATCATATGCAATGGCTTCCAGTGATCAGGAAACCTCCAAAAATTCATGGATATTAGGGTGTTAGTTACATTACTAGAGCTTGGAAATCCTCCTCCAGGGCATAGCCAGCATGAAATTTCTGGGAAGTATATTCTAATAACTTTTACAACCTCTGAGCAAGACTGGAAGGAGCCAACGGAGGTAATATAATGCCAAATGGAAACAACAAGCAATTCTGTTCCTCAGAACACAAATATAAATTAAGACTGGCTCTTGAAAACATACAGTAAATTAACATTAAAGCTGAATTAAACTATTGTCAACACTGAAACAATTCAAAACACTTAGAATGACAAATCACTCCCTCACACAAACCATTATAGATTGAGGCAACCTGTGTTTAAAGTCAATAATCTGCTACCATTCTGACCATATCAGAATGGGCAGATGTACATTTCAAACATCTGGAAATGTCAGATGAACAGTTGAAATGCCTTTTAGAATTTTAAAGCCACATTTTTCCCCTAGGACTCACTCACTTTAACATACCTCCTTTTTTGAAACAAAATCACCATTATCTCCACCTATTAGGTAAAAATACGGAAAGCATTACTAAACATGTTTTTCCAATTTCCTCATCAATTGTTTGAGACATGTATTGCAATTTTAGATTGTCTCAAAAGTCTGTTGCAATGTTACTAAACAGTATGGTAGAATAAATAGAGCCTGCTACAAGGAACAGAAATCACTATACAGAGATCTACAGGATTGTCTCAAAAGTCTGTTGCAATGTTACTAAATAGTATGGTAGAATAAATAGAGCTTGCTACAAGGGACAGAAATCACTATACAGAGATCTACAGGGAGTTCCAATCACTGTAGTGCAATGATTAGTTCGGAGCTAGTCAACTAATTAGGTATCAGTTTAGATGTGGTAAATTAAAGAAAATGGTCCTTCAGAGTACATAAAAATCTTGGCAATAGCAATGTTTCACATTAATGAAGCTTTACTGACTAATGAA